AGCCTGCTGGGCTGGTGGCTGAAAGCAGGTACCTGGGGCTTGTTTACCTTCTATAATTGCAACATTGTTGCACCGGAGCTCAGAGCTGGGCTGCGGAAGGCAGGGAACCTTGGCTTCATCCATCACTGGAGCAAGCAAGCCTCCTGTTCACTTCAGCTGCCTGGCTGCTGGCCGCCATCTTGGTTGGCAGGTAATTTGCATATCGCCCTGATTAGCCAATGGGAAGCGTGTCGGAGGTACATGGTTAATTACCATGTTTGTCTATTATTAGATAGGATACTAATAAAAGGGTACTATGCTAGTTAGACCAGATAGACCGGACATCTTCCTCTCATCCAGTCCTCCTCCAGACAAAGCCACGGTGATGGGGGCTGAGGCATAGGTGGTTAGGGGCGATCAGGTTGGCAGGGGAGCAGTTAGGGGCGATTAGGCTGGCAGGGGAGAGCAGTTAGGGGCGATCAGGCAGGCAGGCAGGGGAGCGGTTAGGAGCCAGCAATCCCAGATTGTGAGAGGGTGCCGGCCAAGCTGAGGGACCCAAATTTAGTGCACCGGGCCTCTAGTATAACAATAAAATCTTGAGGAAATGTTCAATTCAACAACAACAAATAAAAACAATGGTTAAAGGAAGAATCATTAAAAATGCTATTGATCTCCCTCTCCCTTCCTTTCTCTAAAAAAACAAATTTTTTAATGCCATTGATCACTTGATTATCAGTATAATATTGTGGTTATGGAGTCAAACTATGGTTCTGGAGTTAGACTGTGCTGCTTAATACCCAGGTACTGCCAGATATAGTACCTGTGTGTGATCTAGGTAAGTTACTTAAACCTTAGTTTTCTTATCTGTAAATTGGGATGCTAATAACTAATCCCTACAAGGTAGTTGTAAGGATTAGATAAATTGTCATATGTAAGTGACCTAGAAGAAACACTTATAGTAAAAACTCAGTAAAGTTTAGCTTTTTTATTATAAACCAATTAAACTTTTGTGAGATTAATAAGTTAAATATAAATCATTGAATTATGGAAAAACACAAAGAAAATATAATTTTTAAACTACTGAATGGAGTATAATCAGTTAAGCTTAGAAATGATGGAATTCACAAAGGAAAATTATTAGATTTGACTACATAAAAATTAAAATTCCTGTATGTCACAAATGTATAACTAAAATTAAAAAGGAAACCAATAGAAAGTGAAAAATATTTGCAGCAAATAGAGACAATAAAAGTCTAGTTTATTATTAGTTAAAATATTTATATAGATGTTATTGTGTTCAACAAAGGAAAGAGTTATTATATTCTTTTAAATTAATGTGCAAGGAATATAAACCAAAATTTCTCAAGAAAAAAACAAAACAACTAAATATATAAGAAAACGTTAGTTTTCACCAGTAAAGTACAGATTAATTTAAAAATTTTTTAAATTTAGCCCAGGCCTGGTAGCTAAGTTGGTTAGAACATTGTCCTGATATGCCAAGGTTGCAGGTGATCCCTGGTCAGGGAACATACAAGAATCAACCAATGAATGCATAAATAAGTGGAACAACAAATTGACATTTTTTTTCTCCTCCCACTAAAATCAGTAAGTAAAAAGTTAAAAAAAAGAAAAAGAAAAATTGTATGCTACTAAATTAGCAAATATCCTCTATAATAAAAGCGTAATATGCAAATCGACCAAACGGCAGAACAACCGGTTATCTATGACACGCACTGACCACCAGGGGGCAGGCGCTCAATGCAAGAGCTGCCCCCTGATGGTCAGTGCACTCCCACCAAGGGAGTGCCGCTCAGCCAGAAGCTGCGCTCACTGCTGGCTAGCGCAGCGGCAGTGGCGGAGCCTCTCCCGCCTCTGCTGCAGGTGGGCAATAAGGAGGGATCGGGCTTAAGCTGGTAGGGGGACATCCCCTAAGGGGTCCTGGACTGCAAGAGGGTGCAGCCCGGGCTGTGAGACTCTTCACCCTCCCTGCCCCCTGCCCCACAGTGCACAAATGTCGTGCACCAGGCCTCTAGTATTTAAATATTATAATACCTAGTACTTGTGAGTATGAAGGGAATGTAGAAATTGATAGCATCATTCTCATCAAAAAAAATACAAAGTGTGTTTTTAGTCTACAATTCAGTATTTCTAATTCTAAAATGTGTTCAAAAGAAAAAAAATCTCCATGCACAAAACTTTTGTAATGACATTTAAAACTTAAGAATTGGTTTTAAATGAGTAAGTTATAGTATGTTGATGAAATATTATACAGTGATTTAAAATGATGGTTATAAAATTAAAAATATATTTAAGTTGTGACAAAATACAGATGGGTTTAAACTAAAAGAATTTACAAAATCAGTAAGAAAAAAAACTTAATAAACTAAAAAAATGACACAAGACACAAAACAGAAAAACAAATGCCCTTGACTGGAATCGAACCTCAGACCTTCAGTCTGCAGGCCGATGCTCTATCCACTGAACCAAATTGGCAAGGGCTCGTATTTCTTTAATGAGTAATGAGGCAGAGCATCTTCTTCTCATATAGGCCGTGTCCTGCAAATCTATAGAATCGTAAATCATGCCAAAGCCAGTTGCCTTGCCCCCTCTAAAATCAACTCTGAATCCAAACACAAAGATGGCATTTGGTATGGTCTTATACATTTTGACTAGTTTATCCCGAATATCTGTCTTAGATGCTGTTGCCCTCCCAGGGTGAAGGATGTCAGTGACGGTTTGTTTACGCTGAAGTAGTTTGTTGGTCATGAACTTCCTGGTCCAAATAGTTACTGTCATTTATGATGGCGACTGATCTTCAAGGAGCCAGGGAGGAAAAGAACTAGATTTTATTTTCTAGAACAGTTTTAGATTTAGAGACAAACTGAGTAGATAATATAAAGTTCCTATTTACCTCCCCTCCCCTGCACATAGTTTTCCCTATTAATACTATCTTGGTGTGGTACTTATG